CTAAATTTCATTATTTGGACACAGAGGACATTGTTTCTAGATCATGTCAACCAAATGCCAAATAAACATCGGTTATGAGAGTCTGTAACAACAAATGGACAATAGAGCATTTCTAGACATTTTCTAACTTTACCTGGATTTGGCTGAAGATATTCCGTGGCTTTTGAAAGAATTTCTGCAACAGCTTTATTGGTAACGTCTATTTTCTTAAAAACAAAACAAAAAATGGTAGTGAGTGACAAACTCAATTAATTCATAGAAGAACAAATAGAGAAGTAATTTTCATTAGCTTAATACTTATAACATCATTACGATGATTTTAATCTAAATGATCATTTTTAACATTTTGGGGAGAGGAAATCCCCATGATGTTGGAGGACACTATTTTTTTTTATAACATTAAAATCAATACTAATGTAATATTTAGAAAACTTGGAAACATTACTATGCTCCACTAGATTAATGGATATACTTAGAAGTCTCAAAACTAAAACTTGGGCTGGCCAGTTAGCTCAGTTGGTTAGAGTGTGGTGTTATAACTCCAAGGTCAAGGGTTCGGATCCCCTGTACTGGCCAGCCACCAAAAAAATAAATAAATAAAACTAGACATAAGCTAAATTTTCCTTATCTGCTGGGTGAACTTGAACTTCTATACTTACATAAGGATGCCATAGTAATGATTCATATTAGAAACTATGTTAGTAATCAGCAAAAAAAGAATCAGAACCATTAGCATTATAACTAAAGTAAACATATTCGTTTGTGCTATGGTCAGAAGATGTTAACATCAACGTTTTCCCTGCCAAGTTAATACTGAATCTTTCCCTTTGCAAAACCATTCCTGCTGATTTTTGACTTTCTGGTTGTTAGTTAGCCAGAGAACTACTGTGAGAATATACAATAAAGTTAAATATGCAAATTTCAATAGCTTTATATTATACCATGGATAGCCCAAAAGAAAATGTAAGGGAAAAGGAGATCCCACTCATAAGAACAGTAAAAAATATACAATAACAAGGCATAAATATTATGAGAAATTCACAGCACCTACTTGAAAAACCATACTACTAGATGGGAAAATTCATTTTTAGAAAGATGTAGATCCTCCAAAATTAATATGTAAAATTAATTCAAATCCCATCACATTTTTTTTCTATTTTTGTTAAAATTTGTCAAGTTGATGATAACATGTAAAGTTAATTCAAATCCCATCACATTTTTTTTCTATTTTTATTAAAATTTGTCAAATTGATGATAAAGTTAGATTCATACTTTATACAACATACAGGATTAAAACTATGTACCAAAGCAGACTATAAAAGTACTAAATTATAGAGGAGAGTATTCTGAAATACAGTGTAGAAACAAGTTTCTAAGCATGACCTGAAACCCAAGTGTCATACATGAAAAGACCAAAATTCTGACTCCAAAAACTAAACAGTGAAAAATCACAATACACTTAGTTTGAAAAAAATGGCAAACAGAAAAAAGAATGTTTAAAAGACAAAGGGTTAGTATCCATAATACTCAGAACCCCCAATTAAACAAACGAAAAACCCAACAAGAAAGAAGGAAAGAAACATAAACTGGAAATCCACAAAAGAAAAAAAATACAAGTTGCCTATAGACATTTAACAAAATATTCAGAAAAACTGTAAATTTTGTCACCAGATTAACAAAAACATTTTTAAAATCAAGTATACCCTGGGCCGGCCCGGTGGCGCACTGCTACAGTGCGCTGCTTGGGAGCGCGGCGGCGCTCCGGCCGAGGGTTCGGATCCCACATACAGACTGGTTCCCGCTCACTGGCTGAGCGAGGTGCGGGCACAGCGCCGAGGGTTGTGATCCCGTTGCCGGTCCCGGTCCGGTACGGGCGCAACACTGAGGGTTGCGATCCATTGCCGGACACGAAAAAAGACAAAAAAGGAAAAAAAAAAAATCAAGTATACCCAATATTAGGTATGATATAGAGTAATGGGCCATTTCATACACAACAGATATGCAAAATGATACAACCCTTTCAGAGATCAAGGTGGAAGTACCTATTAATATGCATATTAAAGTATAATGTTCCACTATCATAATTTCAGGGATTGGCCATATAGAAACACACCAGCAAATTGCAGTGATATAAAAAGATGTTCATTGGACCATCTTATGCAGTATTAAAAATTGAAAACAAACTAAATTATAATCTATAGGAGACTGACTGTGTACGTCGTGAAACAGCCAAATAAAGGAACACTCTTTCTTCATAAAAAAAAAAAAAAAAGACTATCTATCTGTACCTATACCACGGTGCATTGCTAAGGAGGAACGCAAGCTGCAGAGAAATTTATAATAGGAAAAAAATTCACTTCTGTAATTTAAAAAACGATGACCTGGTCACGGCCACAAGTTTTCAACCAAGCACTCTCATCCAGCCTGAAATTCTATTTGCTCCCTTTGGCAAATGCCTAAATTTGGAGCCCCAGGAAAGTTAAAAAAGACAGTACGGAAATGATAAGAAATTAATCAAACCTGTATTACTGATACCCATGTGCTGTGTGTGTGCGAATGGGCGTGTGTGCGTGTGCGTTGAGCCTGGTAACAGGTTTTGTAAACTTTGAACTCTATTTTGTATATTCACAGTTTATTATGATCTTTGAAGTGTTTAAGAGAATTTAATCACCTAAACGTTTATGTTTTATTAGTTACAAGAAATTTAAGTGCTTAGGAAAATCCTGTTTTAGATTTGTTGTGAAGTTGGAGGGAATCCTGTGCATTGCATTTGTAATTGTAGTTTGAAATATCTAAGGGAGGGCCAGCCCGGTGGCACACTGCTACAGTGCGCCGCTTGGGAGTGCGGCGGCGCTCCCGCCGAGGGTTCGGATCCCACGTACAGACCGGTTCCCGCTCACTGGCTGAGCGAGGTGCGGACACAACACCGAGGGTTGCGATCCTGTTGCCAGTCCCGGTCCGGTACAGGCGCGACACTGAGGGTTGCGATCCATTGCCGGACACGAAAAAAGACAAAAAGGAAAAAAAAAAAAAAGAAATATCTAAGGGAATTTGCCTAATTATGTAACTGGTAATAAATATTTAAGGATGGACTTTATTAAGCTTATGAGTTAACAGAACATAAAATGAAGATTAACTAAAAACGATTATCATTTTTATATCAAAATTACTAAATTTGAAAATAAGATTCATAAGTTCAACTTAAAGCATAAGAAAAACTAGGTTTTAGATTGATGACGTTAATAAATTATATATTAACTAAAACACAACTTAAGAGTGTTCTCTTTAATGTGTACACCCTTCTTTGGACATGAAAAGCCACCAGGAGGCTGAGTCACCTCTGAAAGACAGTGATGAGGGAAATTAGAAGGGGGATATTTTCTACTTTAGATCCTTCTAATTAGGGGGGGGGGTCGGGGGAAAGGCCAAGAAACAAATGGCCGAAAACTTGCAAATGCCTCATAGGCCCTGACATGCACACACTGGAGCTGTTTCCAATACAGGACAGGCATCAAAACTGGAGATAAACCCCTTACAAATTAAAGAGAATGCCCGTTAAATATGCTGGCAAGGATGGGCAGTCAATGTGAACACTGAAAAAACAACTCATATGGTTTAAAAAACAAACAAACAAACAAAAAAACCTTCCTTCCAGAATAACTGGGAATATTATGGTGTGTGTGTGTGTGTGTGTGTGTGTGTGTGTGTGTGTGTGTGTGTGTTTTCAGGTTAGCCAAGTGCTATGCAAATATCTTGGCAAAACATCAGGAAAAATAGAGGAAGGTAGAGAGGTGGAAATTATTTTTGTCCGATCTGCCTGCTGTGGAGGCATCTCTGCTGGATGATTAAATCTGGAATTTCCGTTCAGTGTTGGCGCCCTGCCCACGAGGTGTCTAGAGCCTGTGTCACTGACTCACCCAGCCCCGGCCCCTGAGTTAGACAGCTGCTAGCAGCCCTGCTCCCTCGTGGCTGTTTACGGTATTCTCTTTAAAAAGAGCCCATATCTGTGGTTACATCCTCTTTCTTATTCTTTGCGTAATTTATTTGTCTTTTTCCCTTTTCTCTCTCATAGTCACACTTGGTGGAGGTTTATCATTGTATGGCTTTTCAGAAATAAATAAACAGCTCTTGGCTTTATTGTTTCTATCTTTTTATCATCATTTTCTATTTTATTAATCTTTTTTTTTTCCTTTTTGTCTTTTTTTTACTGACCGGTAACGGGATCGCAACCCTCGGTGTTGCGCCCGCACCGCGCTCAGCCAGTGAGCGGGAACCGGTCTCCACATGGGATCCGAACCCTCGGGGAGAGCGCCGCCACACTCCCAAGCGGCGCACCGGGCCGGCCCAATCTTTTTAATCCCTATTGATATCTACCTTCCACCTGGAGTGATTCAATTTGCTGTAGTTTTCCAAGCTTCTTGGATTGCACGATTTATTTATTTTCTCCTAACATTTATTTTCTATTAAAGGCATTAAAGACAGCCATATATCACAGGTTTTGACATCTAGAAGTCTGTCACTCATGACTAAATAATCTGTACTTTTACTTTTCATTTCCTCTTTAAACTAAGAATTAATTTTCCATGTTTTTAAGTTTCTAAACATCCAGAATTTGGAACCTATACCTTCCTTGTAATTCTTGTGTTCTATGATTTTACTTTGGGAAATTTATTGAGTTTCTTTCTGTAACCTGATACATGATTGATTATTATAATCGTTCCAAAGGAATTAGAAAAATTTGATGTGCATTCTCCATTTGGGGAATGCAGATGTCTATATTTATTTATAATCAAAGTTATTAATCGTATTTTATGCTAATTCTTCATAAGCCTATTGATTATTGTCAATTTGATTTGTTATTTTATGAGAGAGGTACATGAAGTCTTCTACTCTAATTTGTGTCAATTCTCCATGTATTCTGACAATTTTTACCCTACAAATTTAGATGCTACATTATGTGATGCAAAAATGGTTCATAACTATTCTAATTTCCTAATAGACTCCATTGACAGCATCTTTTTATAATTAAAAGAAAGGTATTTCAATTTAGTATTTTTTTTTTTTGCATCATATGTTACTTCAATGTTAACTATCGCTCCTCTATTTTTGTATGGTTAGCATTTGTCATAAAATTTTTTTTGGATTAGCCTGTCATTTCTGTGTCATTTTAGGTGGGCCTGATACCACCTACTGCATCTCTTTTAGAAAGTCCTTAAATCTACTGGTCAAGTATTATATATTTCCATGCTTTTCTCTGCTGTAATAAAACAGGTAATAGATTTTATTTTTATATCTCTTCTGTCTCACTAACATTTTTGGCGAGAAAATGAGGTCAACAAGAGGGATCTCAGTTCATCAACTGAAACTAAAACTCCTGAAATATAATTTTGATTTTAAATTTAACATTTCAACTGAATCATTCCCATAATATCTTTTTATACCAACAGATTTTAAAAGAAATTTAACGTATGTCAACGATGTGAAAATGTTTCCATGGTTTTGAATTTTCAGAAACATTTCACAAAAGCAAAAACAAAATAAGCTTTCCCCCTCAAGGTATCAGCATTTATAGAGATTTAATAGCTTTCATCCAGAAACAGAGAACTCCCAGAGAATAGGCTGGCCATGGCCAAAGTATCCTGAAGAAAGGATCCCCAGGCCACATCCTGGGGCTGGGCATCCTTCCCCAGCACGTGCCGACAGCTCTGCCACCTGCTATCACCCGTAGCCTTGATGTTACACCTGAGGTAGAGGATTGTTTTATCTCCTTGCTCTCTCCTTAGGGGAGTTTATTTATTTTAAAAAAGGCTATATTTAAAGGGCCCAAGATAAAGGGGAAGGAAACAGAGTAAATTAGTAATTACTGGTGGTCCCAGTTCTGCCTCCACCTAAGCTACTCCACACAGGTGACCAGGAAACATGTTAAGGGACAGAGATTCTACAATCTTCCTTTGGGGTGTGTTACTGTCATTTCTGTACCAAGCTGGTGACATTTTTCTAAATTCTTTCAACCACACTATTTTTTTTTTGCATACTTCTCATAACATCTATGTAAGACAAGCAGGACATACATTATCATCTTTGGATCACAGCTCAGAAAAGGTGAAATAGCTTATCTGAGTTCACACTGCTGTTCCAGTGGCAGAAACAGGATAAAAGTTATTTGCTGTGTAGCTGCTGAAACACATAGGCACAGAGTCTGAGTCTTCCACACAGTAAATCAATCGTTATATATTTGAAGGGTCTTGTCCCATCAGTACATTTTCATTCTCCAAGATATATAACCACAATTACTTTGGCCTTGCAGTAACTGTTTGCCAAGGTTGTCCATCTTTTGTGCAATCTGACTTCTGGCCACTAGAGGGAACCAGTCATCCACATCCCATCTCCCTCCACAACCTGCCTAGACTGGATGTGGTTACAGCGAGTGTCTGATTTGGGTTTGAAAATGCGAAAGTATTGCTTTTTGGATTGCATAATCCACGCCTATATTTAAACTTCCTAGATTTCCATTCTACTATCCTTTATAGTAGCGGTATATCTTATATCACAATAAAAGTCAGTTTCTAACAATTTACATATTAAAATGCTCTCTTACCCTTTCCATGTCAAGAAATTCATCATCTAGTTTTGTTCCTTCAGCACCACTTATTTTTTCACTAAATAGCTGCAGAAATAAACACAAGTAATTGCATTATACAATGATTCCTTATCACTGTTTTTACCTAAATTATTAAAACAGGATCAAAAAAAAGCTCAGATTAAACTTGCTGAATTCTTTGAACTAAGTCCTTTAAGAAAATTGTTGTGTGGGCCGGCCCGGTGGCGCACTGGATAGTGCGCCGCTTGGGAAGTGCGGCGGCGCTCCCGCCGAGGGTTCGGATCCCACATATAGACCGGTTCCCGCTAACTGGCTGAGCGAGGCGCTGGAGCAACACCGAGGGTTGCGATCCCGTTGCCGGTCCCAGTCCGGTACGGGGGCGACACTGAGGGTTGCGATCCGTTGCCGGACATGGAAAAAGACAAAAAAAAAAAAAAGAAGAAAATTGTTGTGACTATATCTACAAGCATGGGAAGACATACATTTCTCACTCAACAGATATTTATTATGCACCTACTATGCATAAAGCCCATAGGTACTCTAGTACAAAGATGAGATAGGATCTTTGTCATCGAGGAACCCACAGTTCAGCAAAAGAGTTAATACACAAACTCACAGTTGAAATACAATGGATGAACAATAAGAGCAATTTAAAAAATAATACTACCAGATACAAATGACTGCAAACACACTAAGCGGTAGGCACTTCAGTGACACGTAGAAAGGCCTCAGAGCCCACAGCATTGGGGGCAGGTTCATAGAGGACCTGTTTCCTAGGAGACCTGGCATTTGAGCTATCTTTTAAGGACAGGGGACATTTCACAGGGCAGCACTGAAGGAAAGGCCTTCTGAGATAAGGCACCATGAAAAATGACCCAGAAGCAGGAATGTGTAGAGCAGGTTTTCTCAACCTCAGCACTATTAATATTTAGATCAGACTGATTCTTTGTTGTGGGGGCTGTCCTGTGCATTGTGAGATGTTTAGCAGCATCCCTGGTCTCTATCCACTAAATACCAGCAGCACACACACACGCACACACACACCATTGTGACAACCAAAAAAGTCTCCAGACAGTTGAGAACCACTGGTATAGGGCAAATGTGCTCAAGAAACAGCAAGAAATTTTGTTTAACTGCAAAAATCAGTTCTCAAGGGAGAATGTAGGAAAATAAAATCTGAAAGTAAGCAGAGGCCAGATCACACACATGCTCAGATGCCAAGCTCAAGTCCCTAAAAGTTCTTCATCAGACAGAAAGCAGTTAGAGAAAACTTTCAGAAAAGCAACTCTGGTACCAGCAGGGTTCGATTAAAGAACAAGGAGGATGGATTGGAAGAAGAAAATATGTTAAATCATTTTCTTTAGAAAAGTACATCAACATCATGTGCTAATGCTTTTAAAACATTAATATGCATACAAAAATCAGTAGTAAAGGGGATGACACTAATTAATGATGACAGACTTGCAGGTTATTTTAAATGCAAGTCTGATTTCCTACTATTTGCACTGCTACTGTTGCATGCAAGTATTGCTACTTAATCAGAGGAATATACACAGAGACAGTATTTAACTTAAATTTGAGGTGCGAGAAGGAATTTCTTGAAGAGAGTCAGTATGGAAGATTACAAAAATGGCCAAGGCTCTTCATCCTCCCTGTCCTACGTCCTTGCAGTTCCTCCTGGCAAGAATCCTAGTCTATCTCCCCACCTAGTGAGTCTGGGCTTGGCTTAGGACTTGTTTTGACTCCACAGAAATAAGCCTCGCTAGGCTTTAAAAGATCCTGTGTCTTCCACTCACTCTCCTGAAATCCTGCTGCCACCTCATGAACGAGCCCTGGCTAATTTGCTGGATGGAAAGAGAAAAGTGGCCCAGACACCCCCATCATGACAACCAGTCAATGCCCAGAATCAGAGCCACCTTCCTGACCTGCAGCTGACTGCAGGCCCCTGAAAGAGACCAGCCGAGACCAGCTTCCTCTGCTGAGCCATGGAAACATGAGTCCAGTAAATGGTATTGATTTAAACCACTAAATTTTGGGGTGGTGTGTTATACAATACAAACTAAGTGATACACTAGATCAGAGTTCTTACTTTTTAGGCTGAATATAGAAGTCAGAGAGAATTATCCTAATGCCCTGATACAAGGGATAACTTTCCACAGGAACAATCAAGAACCTCACTGCCATATACCCAGCAGTGTTTTAAACAGATGTAGTCATTAATTAGATCTCCTAAACATTTTCGTTGTTGTCCTTCAGTAATAAAATCATCTACAATACTGGTGCTTAACTTTGGAGTTAATATCCTGAGAATCTAATAAAAGTCACACGACCTCTCCTGCAGTGGGGAGTGGGACCTCACATTTTGTTGCCGTGGTAGATTGCAAAAACGGCCACAGCACTTTGCTCCTCCTCCCATTAAGAAGCGGAGTCTTGGGGCCAGCCCGGTGGCGCACTGCTACAGTGCACCGCTTGGGAGCGCGGTGGCGCTCCCGCTGAGGGTTCGGATCCCACATACAGACCGGTTCCCGCTCACTGGCTGAGCGAGGTGTGGGCGCAACACCGAGGGTTGCGATCCCGTTGCCGGTCCTGGTCTGGTACGGGTGCGACACTGAGGGTTGCGATCCGTTGCCGGACACGAAAAAAGACAAAAAAAAAGGAAAAAAAAAAAAAAAAGAAGCAGAGTCTATTTTTCCACCCTAGATCTGCTTTGGCCAGTAGAATAGTGCAAACAGCCCTGTGTGAGTACTGAAATCGGACTTCACACATACTGTACAGCTATAAAGAGGCTCTGTAGATACTTCTGCTCACTCTCTGAGGCCCACTATAACCACTGCCATGTGAATAAGCCTGAGCTAACTTGTTGGAGAATGAAAGACCACGTGGAGCAGAGATCAGCCACCCCAGCTGAGCCATCTCAGACCACTGCATCCCGAGCTTACCTGGCCACTGACCACCGCCAACAGGTGAGTGGGCTCAAGAGAGACTGGTCACATACCAGCTGACCCCCACCCCCAGTGTACCCACTCCAAAGTGCTGGCCTACAGAATCACGAACTAAATAAATGATTTTTGTTTTAAGTCATTATGTGTTGGGGTGGTATGTTAAACAACAAAAGCTGATCGATACAGTTGCCTGTCATTTCCTGTGGCTGTTGGAACCACAGAAGCTCCTGTGTAGATCCCTGTTTTAAAATATCTATTTGAAGATCCCTTTAGCATTCAGAGTTAGACCTGAAACCTCTTTTTTTTAATTGAAAGATAATTGATTATATATATTTGTGGGGTATAGAATCGAATATCAATACATGTGTACAATAAGCAGTGATCAAATCGGGATAATTAGTATACTCATGTTTATAAGATGTAATCAATCTTTGTGACCCTTAACTAGTTTCTCGTGAAACATCTTTCATCTGAGTAAATTCTTTCATTTGTTCAGGTTATACTTGTTCTATTTTCAGAAACAGAGTGTCTAACAGAAGGAGGGGTGTTTCTGTTTTCAAGAACAGAAAGTATGGGCCGGCCCGGTGGCGCACTGGATAGTGTGCCGCTTGGGAAGCGCGGCGGCGCTCNGTAAATTCTTTCATTTGTTCAGGTTATACTTGTTCTATTTTCAGAAACAGAGTGTCTAACAGAAGGAGGGGTGTTTCTGTTTTCAAGAACAGAAAGTGGTGAGATTAATATTCCTTTCTTGTTTAGAAAAAGATAACATATGGGATCGTTTTCAATAGGAGTCACAGGCAAGAGTCATTGTCATTTTTATGCTTTTCCTGAATTCCCCAGTGATGTTTAGCTGTTTCGATACAGTAAACGTAAATACACATATGGCATTAGCTATTTAGGCCACTTCACTATGTTTGACATTTCATCATTCAAAAATATTGTTTGCTGAGCATCTACTATGTGCAACGCACCGTGACAGATACTTGGAATACAAAGATGAAAAGACAGGCGTGATCCTTCAGGGCCCCTAGCCTCATTCCAGGACTACAGAGTTATTTCTTTTACATGTTGGAAGCTAAATAGAAATACTCAAGCTTCTACTTCGGGTCAAGATAACTATATAAATTCAACTCTGATGCACTCCCCATACTCTGAATACATAGCAATGATATATTTAAACACACACACACACACACACACAGAGAAAGATAAGCAATGCTCAAAAACAGAATAAACATTTTTTTGTGGACCTGAAAATAAACAGAAACAACACAGAAAACAAGGCTGAAGCCCCAGGCTTGCTGGGTGTCTTGTCTGCACACAGGCTATGGCAGCCAGTGTCTGGTCCCTGTTTAGCAAAAAGGGATCTACAGCCAGTGTCTGGTCCCTGTTTGGCAAAAAGGGATATAAAAGCGTTGCCTGAGACAAGTGTCTGGACTTAAGCTCTGCTTAAATCCAGGGGATGGGAAGAAAAATGTGGCTGGAAAAAAAAAATCCAGAAAACCACTGTGTGATG